TTGTAAGAAGCTCAATGCACAATCACACACTTGATCAAATAAACAAAAGCCGTACTTTTGTACCGATCATTTGAAATCAAGTTTCGTTGGAACCGTTATGCACTTTAAACATAAATACACAAACGAATGAAAAGATATTGGTTATAAAGTCTAATTAATTAATATTATTTTAATAAATGAAATTGTTCGTTACACACACTGGCGTTCGTTCGATCGTTTTGTGTCGTTCAACCGGACAGACAGGGTACGTTACTCGCTGCCCCGTGCTGCCCCGGCGCGACGACTGATCACTGTGCATGTGGGACGGAATAGCTGACCTGTATGTACACGTGTGCGCTCGTGTGCGTGTAGAGAGCCTTCGCTGCGCGGGCGATTATAATGTTACTAGTAAAAATAGTTCCTACACTATTGTAGGTTAAATTAAGTTTACGTTTTATTTGGAAAATCAATACTAGCCAGATAGCTACATTAAAAAATAACGTGTTAGAAAACTGAATATTGTAAAATATTTACTTACAAATTTCATAGCTTTCAACATAAAGTTTCTTTTTAATCTTCATTTAAATGAAATTAATTAACTTTACTTTGTAAAAAAATCCATAATTTTTGTAAATTAAGCCCATCATAGAATGTTTAAAACCTAACTTTAAAATTATGATGTCAAACATGGTAACACAGCGCTAACAATTCAGTTAGGAAAATCCCGATCGCAGTATCCCATAACTTAAAAAACCTTATTAGAAGTGCTTTATTGAATCAATTTCTTAGAATGTTAGATTTTGCTGAATCTTCGTATGCCATCAAACATATTATAATAATCGGAACAAGTAAAGCCGGTTAGGTGTGTTACTTTAACCACTTGACAACGGTCATCGTTCTACATAACCGTTTTTAATGTCATTTAACGTTTCGTTTCCGATAATTGTAACAAAATCATTTTATAATCTAATTAATCAAAGGATCAACTCAAAATAAATGACAAATTAAAACTATTTTGTATTTCATAGAGGTATCCAAAAAATTGTTATCTCTAATTTTAACAATATATTAAATATATCCTACTCCAAATAATATAAAAACTCTGGCACAATGTGCATTTATTTAGTTTATGATTATTTTTCTTTTAGTGCCATCTAGAATTTGTAAGATGAACTTTGCAAATTACGTTGTTTGACGAGTCAACCTAAGTTTAGCCTTCTTAATGCCATCTATTGTAATGTTCTGCAAACATTACTAAAACATCAATAAAAAATTTTAGGCAACTAAAAAACTAAAAAAAACCTTTAAAATGGTACGATAATCCTAAAGTGACATCGATAGAGACAAAATGTTTTGTTAAAGTACACATGGACCTGAACGACACTTTTTTGGTTGAAACAAAAAGTTAACACAATTAAAAAAGACAATACAACTCAGATATAATAAAATAGCGTATAATTTTTAAGTTCATTTTATTTTCAATAACATAAAAATGTTATGTTTTTTCCATTTTATACATTTCGAAATGAATTTCAGTGGGTACGAATCTGATCACTAAAATGTTCACAATAAGTTGAAGAGTTTACACTACAGTACAGTTTGGCTTTGCACGAACTCGTGGTATGGCTGTCGCCATATTTAGAATTTCTTTTTTCACTTATTTCCAAATGCTGTATCTTACATTCGTACGAGCAAAAATCTACAATACTCCACAGCAGTTCATCACAATATTCAACAAAATGTATTGTAATAATTTACTCACTTGGGTCGATCATTCTCTTTGATTTTTGTATTTCTGCTATTAAATGTTGATATGCTAAAATTTTTATGATATTTTCCATTTTATATAAACAAAAATACATCGTTTACCTAAATCAGGTAAAATTGTACAAAAATTATCATTTGGTCTTACAAAAATCGTTAAAACGATCGACCCGAAGCAATATTCACTACAATAAATAGAACTAGCTAACTGGAATTGAAGGTCCCTTAAAAGTATGTAATTTTAGATAAAAAGCTGTGATCAACCAATGCTACTTTCTCTTAGCACGCGCGTCTAATCGCCGCATCTCATTTAGAAAACTTTCCAATTCGCTTGTACAATTGACCACGGCTTTTTATAACACTAATTTTATTGTTTCATAATAGTCGACTAACTCTAAAGAGGCGTCCATATTCATAGCATGAAGAAAAATGCAAATTCACCAATTCTTACATAAATATTGAAAAGATTTGACAGTTTACATATAAACTCTAATTAATAATAAACTGTTTTTAAACTTTTTATCAGTAATTTATCACTGTAAATTTTACAATATCTAAAATGAACAATGGGTGTGTGATTGACAATTTTAACGGGAACTTAATTCCATTTAGAGATTTCCACGATTATCCATAATGCTTCGCTGCACATAATCTTTTAGTTTTTAATGTTATTACAAAAAAAATAATAAAAAAAATCCCCGTAACGTGGTAAGACATCAAATGGAACCAAACATTTGAAAATATGTGAAACAAGTTTTGCTACTTTAAATGCTCATCATTGTTATAAAATGAATATTAAAAAAAGGTATTTCTTTAAAATAAATTGCATGATTATAAATTAGATCATTATTATTAGATACATATATTATTGCTTGTCAATTTACTTAAATAAAAGGCGGCAGAAAAATAAATAAAACATTTGTCAAAAGATGAGCATAGATTAAGACATTATATGTGAACAAGGGAGATATAGTCTACATTAGTTTCAGAGCGTAAATGTGATAATTCATTGGTTCTTTAATTTTTTTTTCAGGTTAATAAGTCAAATTATAATAATATGGCAATGTTTAATTAGAGCTTTTTAAGGTTTTATCTATACTAAAACATGTGGATTTTACTATATTAGAAGCACCATAGAATAGGTTAAAATTCTCCAATAAATTTAATGTTAGAATCAATTTATCTAAATTGAATTTTGTTTAATTGCAATGTTTTTTTAATTCGATTCTTTGCAGTAACATTAAATTAAATTAATCTTTGTTTTTTACAAATTAAATGCATGATTGTAATCTTGCCATTTTGTTTCTTTAAAATAATTACACTTCGCAATGTATTTAATGAACAATCGCATTTACGCACCGAATCACATGTTTTATTGCATTATGGTATTTGTATGTACATGTAAAACCATGTGTAGAATTTTAATTTAGTAATACTACACTAAAACTGGCCGTCATATAAGTATCCGCCATGTTCTCCTAAATATAACTACGCAATATAATATTCTTAACTAGTCAATATTTACAAATAATACAGTTCATTTATCTCTATATAGAAATTAAAATATATTTCTATCATTCTTCGATTCACAATAACGCAAAATAATTTAACAGAGTTCATTTTTGCACTCACATTTACAATATAGTTCCGTAACTAATTTGTTACAAGTTTACTTCGTCGATTTGAAACAACACATTTAGAATATATCACCCAATAAGCGAGCACAGCAATACTCACCGATCTTATCGTAGCTTAATTAATTAAAAATGCAGAATATGTGATAACGTCAAGGAATATATTACAATGAACGGCAATTGAACATTATAGTCCGCTCGCATCAAATAGGAACTATAAGATTCACAATGCCCGCGCACGCCGCGCACACTATATGTACAGCTGCGGCGCGCCTAC